AGAACAAGAAGAACCACACAAGGAAAACCACAGAGAATCTACAATTTGTGCTACCTATCTGCAGCATTTGTATCTACATACCTCTTGCCTTGGAGAGAACAAAAAGACAGAGTGAAGAAGTTCGGGTGATTCGTTATCTTTCTAGAGAGGAAAAAATGAACCAACCATTGGAAGGATGGAAGATTACAGGTAAGGTGGTGCATTTATCAAGTGCTGCATTTCCTAAATATGCAGTGGATATAAAATTAATTGGTTTTATGTGTGCTTAATGGGAGTTTATGGGAGTCAGTTATTAAGATGTAAGACTTTTTTTGTTATGATAACAGTAGAACCTGCTGAGTGGATCATCTCACAAGTGTAACATTGTTTTTAAAGTCCCAAGGCCTATTTATTCCATGTTAATAAACCTCTTTAAGTGGATCACGTCTCAAGTGGAACACTTTTTTGAGGTCCCGAGTGTGTTCCACTTACATAGTTTCTACAGTTCTACTGAACTCATCCTTTCTGAATTAACAGAACCATGTATTTATTATTCTTTCAGTGCGGTCATTGGTAGTGGAAATAGTTCCAATACTTTTCGAAGAACTGAGTGAGACACTCCTCTGCCAGGATAGGGTGGAGCAACATTTTAACGCCACAGAAGGGCCGGTTGTCCAAACAATGCACAAAATGTTGCAGATTTCATGAACAATGAACTTGTATATCAGGTTGCGACAGTGAATGCTGTGCCTAGTATGCAGGGCACATGGGATTGTACACGTGGTTGACAATACACCATTCCCAAAACAAAGAATGACTTAAGTAGAGAATTTGGAACTGGAACATTTATCAGAAACTGTGAACTACATATACAATGTCACTCAAAAGTTAAGTCAAGTGAGGATTTCTATCGAAAGCTCTCTATAATTAATACTTTTTATACTTTAATTGGTTTAGAGAGGTTCATGGGAACTTATATTGCATCTTCAAGTTTTAAATGACAAAAAACCACTGTGGAGGACCATTTCTCGAAGAAACTAGGAAAGTATTTTCCCTCCTTTCCTTATTGAGGGAATTGAATTGTAAATATCAACAGGAACATCAGTTTCAAATTAATTTATTTCACTAGATAATAGATGATCATGATCTTCTCTATGAAGGTATAGACAGCAACTTGTATATATTAGAATCAATTACCAGGTTATTCAATGTACATACAATACATTTTATCAATAGACTTAAATACTACCTATTAAGATAGGTAAAGAACAAATTTTCACAAGGAACTCAATTACAAATCACATCATAAAAGTGTAAATAATGATAATGTATATGCTTATTGGAGTGATGTTTGTCTCTGATGAAAATAAAGTGCAATAAATTGAATATACTGTTATTTTTTCTTACTGTTTGGTGAATGATACAAGATGAAAGGGATCAAGAGTAATGAACCATTCAAAGACTTGTGTGCGATCCCCCCCCCATGCAGGGTGGGGATTTTGACAAAGCAATTGGGTAGATGACTAATGCCTTGGTCACATTTGCTCCGATTGTTCAATCGGCACCGGCAGAGTGTTTTGTTCAATATTGTATTCAATTTTGAAAAGAATACTCAATCGGCTGGGCGCTGTATTGAAAATCAAAGCAAATGTGACGAAGGCATAAGATTGAGAATTTAACAGGCCAACATTTTTTGTTCTGGTGGAGGGGGTCTCGCACAAAGATTCAAATCATGCATTTATTATTAACCAGTACTTGATTTGTCAATTTTGATATGTAACTGGTAACTATTGAGGTTCATGATAGATTAAATGACTAAAAGTTGGTACATTCATCAGCAGATGGGATGGACAAAATTCTTGACAAAAAACATTTTCATTTACTATTGCCCATACAAACTTAAGTCGGTCTTTGATAAATTATGTGTATATCGAGAGAGGAGGTATTTTGGGTAATGTCAAAAGGATGAGTCTGGATATATGCCCTTTTAGTCTCTCGGTTAGAGGAATGTGAAATATTATTTTTATAACTGTCCTAGCTATATTTGATAAGTTGATGCATAAGAGTGGCAATAAGAATCCTAACAGAGAACAAATAATCATTATCATCACCAATGGCAACATATGACAGATATAAAGTAGAAATAAATTCAAGACCCATGAAGAATTGGTACATGTAGAGAGGAACAAAAAACAATTGTAGTTAAAAACAGAATGTGTTAACAAAAATGGTTATATCAAATATATACAAATAATCTTCGCATTAAATGTTTGCCAATAGACGTTTCTGATAAATCGTGCCCTCTTTTGATCCATCAGGGAAACTATAACTTATTGGCTAGATTAATGATGTCATTGGTTTTAGGTAGCAAACTGCCCATTCAAAAATGGTATTAACTTTACGCTAATTTTATAAAGTACAACCTATGACATCATCAATCTAGCCAATATATTGTGGTTTCTCTGATGGATCAAAAGATGGCACGATTTGTCTATTGGTCAATATTACATAAAGGACCGTGTTTTAAGGTTTTCAATAATAGGTTTAAGATATATTTAAAAAATATGATTTTCTTCAGACATTACAATTTTTTAAGTCAATGTCAGGACTCATTCCCAGACTCATCCTTTGAATTCTAAGTTAATTGAAATAATTTCTTCAAATTAATACTCTGGTCTGCTATACTTTGAATTTTCAATATCTAATACGTTATGATTCCAAATACAGTAGAACCTGTCAAATCCGAACACCCATTGGACCAGCCAAAAGCATTTTAATTGGTATGATGGGGGGATGGATTTTCATATAACGAAGTTGAATTTGTTCTCTTTCTCACGATACAATCTTGTCTGCAAATGTCTCTGGGTTGCCTTTGATATGCATGGTTGAACAATTAATGATTCAATCTTCACTATCATAACAGACCCATTGGATATAAAGACCTGTTCATAATCCAAATCAAAAACATCCAGTTAATTTCGAATTATCGAACCAATTATCTCCTGGATTCATCTTCTCTTAATCCAAGTCAGAACATCAGGTCATTTTCAATAAGGATAAACCATTTATTTCCTCGATTCTCAACCTTTCTCTTAATCCAAATCAAAATATCCAGGTAATTTCCAATAATGATAAATCAATTATCTTCTTGATTCATACTTTTCTCTTAATCCAAATATAAAACATTCAGTTCTTTTCTAATAGGATAAAACCAATTTAATCCCGCATACCTTTTCAAAACATCCTGTTGTTTTCCACAAGCAGGGATTTCGCTGAGACTTAAAATTAACCAGAACAACGGCAACGCCAAAGCGTAGCAAATCCCATCGAACAGAATGGCTGGCATTTTTACAAACAAAATATATAGCAAATATCATAAGAAAGGCCACCATTTTCAAAATGGTTGCTCACTAGCCAAGTTGTCATCAGAAGAAGTAATATGCTTTTAAGTAGCCACATATACAATTTTTCAAAAATCTCATGAGTATTCACATATGAACAAAACGCTCCACTACTTTTCAAGTTATAGTAAAAAACGTAAAAATGGTGGCCATTTTTCAAAATTGCTGCCTTCTACCCAAGGTGTCATTAGACAGTGTGCCATGCTTATAGTATTCACATATCAAATATGAACAAAATCACTCCACTACTTTTTGAGTAACAGTATAAAATGTTAAACTAGAAAATGGCAACTCCACGGAGTAGCAAATCCCAACGAACACTGTATAAATCATCAATCTGTACAGTCACAATGTAATTCTACTCTTACCTTCAATAAATATTAACTCTAAGTAATGGTGAATTTCTGCTCTAGTCAGCCATTTTGAATTTTCAGAGGCACAAATCAGAAAAAAACAATGCCATAATTGTGATCTACTCTGAAATTCCTTCAATTTGAGTATAATATAGCCATACTTTTAAGAGATCATAAAATAATTGCGAAATCCTGCATTAGGCGGCCATTTTGAATTTTTTGAGGCCCCAATCAGAAAAATGCTACAATATTTGCAATCTACTCTAAATTGCCTTTCATTTGAGTATAATAAAGCTATACTTAAAAAACATCTCAAAATTAATGCAAATTCCTGTTTTCCCAACCCCCTATTTACGGCCCCTGGGGATCAGGGTGAAAAAGATATATGTGAAATAGATAGATGTTGTTAATATACTACCAACATTTCAAATAATAATATTTATTATTTTGGTAATAACATAAGATTTTTGCGAAAAACCATTCACCAATATACATCTTTCCACCAAATATGAAGAAAATCTGTCGACTAGTATTCGAGTTGTCTTCCAGACAGACGGACAGACTGACTGACTGACTGACTGACTGACGGACGGAGGGCTTCACTATAACCCTACAGAACTTCGTTCATTGGAATAATAACACACGTAAAAATGGTGGCCATTTTTCAAAATGGCCGCCTACTACCCAAAATGTCATTAGACATCGTGCCAAGCTTGAAGTATTCACATAGCAAATATGAACAAAATCGCTCCACTACTTTTCAAGTTACAGCAAAAATCTTAAAATGGTGGTGCAAAGGCAGCCATTTTGCAAGATGGCTGCCATGTATTTCTTCTATATTTACATTTCTAGCTTAATTGATGTCCTATATAACTTTTTACATTCAAAACATATTGCTATTACAGTTTATACGCAGTACCTAAATTATTGTAAAATCGGTGCTAAAATGGCTAACATTTTTTAACGACCGGCCATTTTGAAAATCGTCTTTCAAGCACAACTTGTACTCCCATAGGGCACATGTGTACAAAATATGAACAAAATCGGGCAAACGGTATTTGAGTTGTTGCCTGGACAGACAGACGTATGGACGGACAGAGGCGTTCCCTCCCTCAGAACTTTGTTCGATGGGATAATTAGGACAATATTGGTTCTTTGATTACATTTGATTTCTGATAAAAATGTTCAGATTAGACAGGTCAGTTTTTCACACCTGGTTGTTCACTGTTCAGATTAGGAGGTGTCCAGATTTCAAGTTTTTAACATGGGACTGGAATCACATTGATTGACCTTTACATCATATGTCATCATAATCGTATGTAACTATACTATATACACCCGCATGGTTGTCAGCTGCCAGTACACTGAACATTGATATAATTGATAAATAAACAACTAGTCAAACTGTACATAGATAAAGTTATACTAACCTAATATTTCTTGAATTGTTTTCGCAATGCATCAGATAATTCTACAACTATTTTGCTATACTTTGGCACTTTTACAATGTTGTTGTCTTCATGTAAATCGTGATGATGATCATAGAGTTCTGTGGCAGCGACATTCTCCCAATCAGCCCGATAGTGTACCTTTTCAACAATATACATTCTCACCCATTCTGTATACCTATATCTCTTGGTTCGTATCGAATACCCCATGTATTTCAGATCTTTCACATGAGGTTGGTCACTGTTTTCCTGGGGAATTAATGAAGGCCGTGGGTACTGAGTGAAAGCAATATCTGGCCACATATAGCCTCGTCCTTGGGTAATGTTTTTGATAAGCGGTAAAAGATTTGAGCCTTCAGTACATGTGGTAATGTTATTTGATATCTTTGGGCATTTTGTTACCTCAAGTAGTCCAACCGCTGCCACCAATGTAGGAAACAAGTCAACTAGTTCTACATTCACATTTGTCATGAACCGATGACTATCATTTTCTTTCATTGGCACTCTGTATGATAAAGGAGATACCTTGGTATTATGTTTCCTTTTTATAATGAGATTTTCTCTATGAGATTCTGAATTTAATAAAGATTTGAAATATAATTTTAATGACTTTGAGTTTGAAGACACTTTCTGCCAGGAGTTCATATTTCTTGCACCACTTGTAGCAGTATTATCCACATCTCGTTTGGCATCGGCATCCATTGCCCAGTCATTCTCAGCATTGATATCATTCATATCATCAAATGGATGAATGTGTTTAACACTTCGAACAACAGTACTATCCACGTCATTGCCAATGGCCAAATCACTCTCAACTTCATGATCACTCATGCCATCAAATGGATTAATATGTTTGAAGTGTGTCTGTGAGAAATTGACAGTTACACCAGGTATGTAGTATAACATGGGAACTCGGGTTGCCACATCAAAGTTACTAAACTTTGACCACTCTTGATGCTCCCCTAGTGACCAACCTGAAAACATCACAAAGTTTTATAAGAATAGGCTAGTATTTGCTACTGTACTATCTTCATATACAATATTTCATGCTCATTTTGATGATCTCGGTGAACATATGTATTATGTTATAAGTGTTTAAAACAATTAATTTGTTTTAGTTAGACCAATAAGACACATTTTAATACAAAAGGCCCATGTGCAGTATGGCAAGTGATTTTAGACAGTCATATCTTTCACCATGAGTACTTTCTAGACTTAAATACAGTTTTTTTTTTATCAAAACAATACGTTTTCTTTCAAGTGAAGTCCCCATGATGATAAAAATATCAACCGAAAAATTCGAAAAATTATTAATAGGGACCCCAGGTCAACGATTTTTTCAAAATGTTAAACTTATTTGCTCAAAAGAGGATCTTCTTTTTCTGACTTTTATTGCATGAAAACATTATTCAACAAGGGGTCTAAAATTGTATTGAAAGTCAAGTTTTGAAGATCTCAATTTTCGATGACCAAAATCATGATGAAAACAATGGATAGCATGAGTTTTCCCTATGGGAAAATAACATGGGAAATGTTTTTTTAACTTTATCACATTTCAATACCCATCCCCTTTTCAGAAGTTATTAATATAGTGTAGAAGAAACTTTTGATACATTTAAATTGAGAAAAACAAGATGCTCTTTTTAGAAAATAAGCCTTACATTTTTAAAAAAGTGACAAGGTGGGGTCCTAATCCATAATTTTTCAGAGAGTGGGATTGATATTTTACTATCATGGGGACATCACTTTAAAGAAAACAGTCATATTGTTTTAATAAAAAAATCACTGTATTTATACCCAGAACATACTCATGGTGAAAGATATGACAGTCTAAAATCACTTGCCATACTGTACATGGATCTTTGTGTAAGTTGAATAACATATACATTAATGCTTCAGTGCATTACCCTACCATGATCAGCTATTAACGCTATGATGGTATCATTGGCAAATCCCTCTTTGCTGAGTGTGGCTAAGACCTGCCCAAGGTAGTCATCCATGTATGATGTAGCAGCATAATAACTCTGTCTCACCGATAACTGAAACAGAAGTCATTAAGGTCAGGTGGGACCCATCGTGAGAGATCACAGCCTTCTCTCAGTTTCCTTTCTATCTTGTGCATTGCAGAGATGGTCTGAGTATCAGAATGGGTGGGACCATTTCTAACGTCATCATCAAGAAGCGGTGACATTGCATGTTTGTCAAACCAATGTTTTTGGCAAAGCCTATGGTTTTGGGACCAGTATTTGATTTGGCATAAAATGGCCTTAAAAAGGACTTTCAAACTCACAGCTGCCCCAGGGCTGCCAATAGAAACCATTTTTCATGCTTGGCAATGGACTTGGAAACAATCAATGTTTTTAACCTTAGGGCATTCAAATATAATTATATGTTTAACATCCTATTTAGAGACCAAATCCTAGGGTGGGTGGTGAAAATATTTTAATGGAGACAATACTGATGCTTAAACAAATGCATGAAGTTTTTAATCTGAAAACTCCTTTCAGTATAATATGATCTAAGATCACAATTTTTAAGTTTTAATTGTCATTTGGATTCTTCACACTCTTGTTAACAATCTACCTGATAGCTGTCAGGTAAGGGTCCATAAGGGAATGACACATTGAGAGCCTTGACGTCATCACGTTTGCGTAGGTCAGCCCAAGGATTCCAGGCCACTGATGGAAGATCAGGGGGCAGCACAGGGTCAGGGGCAAGGTGAATCTTGGATAATGGATATAGGTCTGTAATAAAATGAATATAATGTTGTATAAAACCTGTAAGTGAAACATCTTTGGTATTCTACTTTGGGAGGTTCATTTAACATTTAAAACGATTGATTATGAGACTGTGGAGTGTTCCCCTTTTAAATTGGTTATCTAAATTATATGGTATTGGTTCTCTAATAATGAAAACAAGGCATTAACATGTAAAATGTCACAACCTGCCATTTGTTACAGACATCGAACACTTAGTACCAAATACCAACCACCAAATGCTGATCATCACTGTCCACAAAAAAATTGGAGACTATAACAATATGTCACTGCTTTTGGTGGTAGCATAATAAAGTAATTCTTTTTCGAAAGTTAGGAAACAAAGTTTTTATGTAAATGTACAGTGTTTTTATGTGAAGAGAGAGAATGAGAGAGTCTACTGGAGATTAATACATTTTATCTAAATATAATGTATTTCTCTTTTAGAGATTTTGTGCATTCTACCTCCATCTTGATTGACTTAATCTTGAGTCTTGATGTTACAAGTTCATATATGTTTTCCATACTGAATGAACATTGGAAGTGTAATATTACAAAGAAACTTGTTATCCCTTGGGACATTCCACTGATACATGGGACTTGTAGGTCTATTACCTAAATATTCCTTGGGATATTTCAATGGTATATGGGGCTTGTGAAATCCTACAGCTAGAAACCATGGAGTAGTTGAGCCATATTGCCTCTCACTTGATTTCTGTTGGAGCATCTTGATAGCCTCTCCCGTGCTCTGAATGTCAGGAAGACTTTGGCCTGGTTGCTTGGCAACATCAACAGGACACACAATGTTCTGGTGGAGATGACCATTGGCACTCGGACATACCTAAAATGTACATATATCTACATTAAGTTTACATTTCTTGCGATTGGTTGTCCATGCTTACTGTAAATTGGTTTCATTTTGCAGCATTTAATATTTAAATTTTGTCATTTTTTTCATTTGGAAGACTTTTGTGAAAATATATCAAAATATGATAACATGGTAGCTTATTGGTGAATGATTTTGTAAATTTAAAGAATTTGATAATCACAGAACTAAAACATTTTACAGCACATGCACTGCACACTGGATGCATTGTATTTCCTTCCTTCCTGATGATAGACAGTGATCTCCCCAGCATTAAAGCAAGTGGGCGCAGCTTACTCACGTCGAGAGCTACCATGTTAGATTTTGAAAGTATAGCTCGATCTCCATCGTGAGGATCTCCCAGCTGAAGAATTGTGACATCTAAATTTGATCAGCGCCAGTCAGCGGCTTGCTGTTTGTCTCAAACTATAGCCTACATATGGGCTCATATGTGTCTACTTTCCCCGTGCATGTAGGATCGCGGATGTGCTTCTATGGCGATCAGGAGTTCTAATCGTTTTTTGTTCGATACCCATTTCCAATATGGCGGTTAAACGGAAATACTATCGACGCATGCGCAACTTGGGAAACGTCAAGCCGCCATATTGAATATACCTGGCCAAAACTTTTGACACAACCAATAAATGAAGTCCTGATCGATACATAGGGCAGTGAGACGTTCTATAGTTGAGCTGAATGAAAGATGGCGATGTAGGATACATTTTCAGGTATATAATGTGCAACATGAGTCAGCTGAATTCCCTGAAATTTTCTTTGAAGTCAGGATTCTTAAGCTGTTGATTCTAGCGATAGAGAGCTATACTTTCAAAATCTAAGTAGCTCTCGACGGGAGTAAGGCGCAGCACCCACCTGAGATTTTAAAAATAGGTTTGCACCCACCTGAAAATCCATTTGCACCCACTTGAAAATGAGAAAAATCATGAAAAATGGCATATTTTAACAATTTTGGTCTGAATTGTGAAAATAAGAATTTTGCACCCACCTGAGAAAAAAAACCTGGGCAGATCACTGATACATGTTTTGGAAAAGTTGATGTCTTGGAGTAATTGCTTCCTCTCAAAAAGCAAATAAGAAAAAACTCAACTGCATACACCAAGAATAACAAGAGATATCCAACAACTACAACCATAATAATCATTCCGAAGTAAAACGTGCACTGTGCCATCCCTCAGATTTTTTCTCAAATTTCTACACAGCACAGCATGTTTCACATGATTGGCCAGTTGTTCCAAATATGCTGATCTTTCATGTTTTTCTCATCTCAATTATTCTAAAAATGGATTTTTAAGCAAGTGCAACAATTTTCAATATCTCAGAAAGGGACACTGCACCCATTTGTTCAATGCTTGCGATATATTCAGTATTATTTTAAAACAACCAAAATAGGGCAATTATAAACTATAACAAATGTCACCCTTGCTGCAAGTGTAACCAAGTAGGAGTAACCCTTTGTTACATATGTGGAAGCAAAATGACAATAAGAAATGCCAGTCAGCATACAAAATGGTGCTATTAACAATATTTCATCTTATTTATATGTCTACTTACACAATCACCTACCTTTGATTGTTTGTAGCTCTGTGTTGGAGGGTGCCATGTAGGAGCAGACCAGCTGTAGTAGAGGTCATCTGTGTAGTTGGAGCTTCTTCCTAGTATAGGGAAACAACAAAACTGTCATAGGAAAAATTAAGTTCATCTCTCTTATCATATGATTGAAAAGATTAGCACTTTCAGTATTTTTTATTAAAACTCTCCTTTTCTATTATAGTTCTGATCAAACAATTAATGAGACCCATATCAGTATTTCTTATAGTTATAAATAGAGAAAAGTGGATCTTACTTTTCTGCATTGGCAATTTTCAATCAAAATTGGCATATTGACACTTTGACCCCCTTCCTTAAAAATGAGACCCTGCCATGGGTGTAGCCAAGTATGAGGCAGTCAAGGCAACTGTCTCACTTAAGTTTTATGAAACATATATCTTCTGATGGTTGATCTACTTAAACTGAGGAAATGAAATCCAAATTACCACATCTACATGTATTTACTTTTGCTCAACTATTTACATTTGCCTTACCTATTTACTTTTGCCTCATCTATTCATTTTTGACTGACCTGTTTAATTTTACCTCAACTATTTACATTTTTCTGATCATAGCGATGCCCCTGGCCCCTAAAAACTAACAGCACCTGAAACTCCATTACTTTAATGCTAGAAGAAAAGTTATAAACCTGGGTGAAATATTTTTCCAATGGAATAGGTCTGATAGCCATTTTCTCTGAAATATTGTGGTATTGTTGTGAAGTTGCCACCCACTTTTCGCCAGAACATACGATTATCTATCACGTATGTAGTATCGGGCCTGCGACTGGTCAAGAAAGATGCCCTACTTGGACCGCATATAGCTTGCTGAAAAAAGAAATATTTTTAAAGTGATGATTGACAATTTTATAAATTTTACATGTAAAGACAATACCCACAATTTTAAGACAACAAAGATACCATTGACATGAAGGATGATGGCAACAATGTGAGATGAATAAATAAAATATAGGTGGAGTGCTTAAAATACGATACCGACAAGGAATTGATTGATTGTAAGATCACATCTACATCATCTTAATCTTTAGTGAGGTCCTTAATTTTTGGACTAAGTTTCTGGGGTTAGGCTTCTCCAAAACATACCTGGGCATATGCATTATTAAACTGGACTGACTTTGATGCTAACTGGTCAATATTTGGTGTTTTTAAAAGGCTGTCGCCATAGCAACCTAGCGCTGGTCTAAGGTCATCAACCACAAGGAGCAGCACATTGTGAGGGGCTGAAAATAAAAATAATAATTCAACTTTTTTCACGAATTTTAACTACAGTTGAATAGAAAGGGTGGGTGATGCCATTATAACAAAATGTGCAGGCTCGTAGCCAGGATTTGCCAAGGGGGGTTCACTTTTTGAAAAATTCCAGGGGGTTCACATTCACTTGTGACAATTTTGGTCCAAAATGGCCAAAATCACCTAAAAAGTGCTCAGAATGGTGAAAAACTGCATGATTTTGAAAGATATTTTGACCAGGGGGCCGTTCACTCGAACTCGTCAAACCCCCCCAGGCTCGAGGCCTGATGTGTGATGTAAAATTTAAATGCCCTGTGCAACATTAAAATCTGGGATGTACCTCTATATCTTGAGTCTCAAGCCCTACTGCTGAGCTACAAAACTCAAGTTCTTAGAATGGTGTATATATCCTATCTATACATTATTTCATACAAATCAAATATGGAGGAAGTCCTGCATTTCATTGAAATATGCTTTAAGAATCGCAACCATGACAACACAATATCTTTGAAGATTAATGTAACTGTACTGTAAATGTATATATGTAGTTTGTATAAATATAGTCTGATAGCCCTGATAACACAGTGGCCATGCCTTACTCACTTCGAGAGCCATGTTAGATTTTGAAACTTATGGCTGTCAAACGGAGAAGTGAACAGCTGATCAATAGTGACCTTTGAAATTGAATTAAGTCGATCCGCGGCTTACTTTTGGTCTCTAACTGTGTCTTACATCAGTATCATCAATCCGTGTAAGTATTGGAGCGCTGGAGTACTTCTTTTTCGATCAAGACTTGTAAATTGTTCATCGAGTTAAAGTTTTACAGACCTATTTCCAATATGGCGGTTTGCTAGGTGAGAGATACGCAACGAACGAAATGAATTTTGAGAATTAGTTAGGTTCGGACAACCTCCAGAGATTTACGAAAATGTCCGAGCAGAAACCGCCATATTGGAATTTGGCAGTAAAACGATTCACTCGACTAACAATTACAAGTCTTGATCGAAAAAGAAGTACTCCAGCGCTCCAATACTTACACGGATTGATGATACTGATGTAAGACACAGTTAGAGACCAAAAGTAAGCCGCGGATCGACTTAATTCGATTTCAAAGGTCACGATCATTGAGCTGTCCAAATGCTCCGTGGGAAAGCTATTATATCAAAATCCAAATAGCTTTCGCAGGAAGTAAGCCATGCCTAAATAAATTCGAAATTCTATAACATAGTATTACTTTATTTTATAAATTGTGCAGTGCATATATGTTTAATTGTGTCCATCACACTCAAGATGAGCAAGTGGACATAACATATTAATATTAGTCTGTATCTGAAAGACTGAAAGAGGCGGGGGGAAAACCCCAGGCTTCAGAGATGACACAAATTTATAATGTAAATGTGTATTGAGATGAAATTGTTGCTGATAGGTCAAATTAGATCAAATTAGATCAAATGATTGTGCTCAGCCTTGTGAAAAATCACTTTGCGGGACCATGGGCTTTCAATCACTTGAAAGCCCATGGCGGGACGCATGTGCAGTATCCATGTAGAAATGAAATGCTTTCCATATCTATTACTTACATGTATTGTATTGAACTTCTGACTTCTCTGAATATTTTCATTAGTGAGGATAGTCCAAATGTCAGTCTACAGTGGGGAACATAAAGAATTACAAAAGCTATGAAAATGACATATATGTATGCTGTCGCACATGTAATAAATTCTTACCTCAGTGTATTCAGTGCTCTAATTTTCTCCGTCCTAGAAAGTCCAGATATAGTGGAATTTGTGTCCATAATGACAAATAAGAACTTAAACATTTGAAGTGGATATTCACATGTTAATGCCAACTCTTCAAATGTTGAGGTGATTTTGGAGCCCGATGATGCTGCAATGTGGATTGGATCCCAGAATGCAACATGACACGTGCCAGCTTTCAAAATGCCATTCCACCATTTTGAAATCTGTCATGAGTAAATAGGTTAACTGATGTTGCATTCTGGGAGTCAATCCCCCTTGGATCACAAACATGGCGATTCATGAAAACATTCGTTCGATTTGGTAGGGATTTATCCATCATTTGCAGGTATGAAGCTTTGGATTCATTTATTGGGCTACTTAAAGTGAACGGGAATTATTTTCCTATCGCTTGAGTTTGAGACACGAAACTTAGAATTTAGCTTATTGTGACTTTTGATGGTTGAGGTTTAATTTTGGTCCCCACCATAGGCTAAGGGTTAAGTAATAGTAAGCTGTATATAGAAGAGACAGGTCAACAACTAGGATTTAGGCCACTTGTTAACATGGCGATTTTAACATTATTTGTGTATAATTTTCAAAAAACAATGCAGAGTTGATCCAAAATTGATAGTTTGCAATTCTTACCTATGAATCAACCACATTCAAGTGATATAGAGTGAATAAAGCCGTCTTGAGGCGAGATATTCTGAAAACCTACAATTGCCTGGCAAGTTACCCGGATTTCCGTGTTGAATCATGAATGGAAGTTTGAAACAAGGAATTTGATTGGTTCCTGCTAACCGCCGCCAGTGACACCTATCTGGCTCTCTAAAATGTAATTCATTTTCTAGAAATAACAATCAATTAAAGTGTACAAAACTATAAAAGGTTTACTTAATAATTATTTATCAAAACATCTGATTCATATAATATATTTTTAAACCCATTTTTCTTGGAATTTTAAACTTCTAATTACAACCAATCAAATCAATCGTTACAAGATTCAATCTTTCCATGTGTCCGGAAGTTTCAACTTGCCGGGCAATTGCAGGTTCGTACAGTTGGTGTTTTTTTATGCTGTCTTATCGAAGAGTTAGGGTATAGATTTGAAATATTCAACAATCTACGTTTCGAAAACACTTTGGAGAAGATTCTTGGGAGATTTGGTGGTACGACTCGATATCAGTAAGGAGAACTCGTACCAAGACGGCAAGTTTTTGAAAACATTTTCAATCCTAGTTGTTGACCTGTCTCTTCTATATACAGCTTACTATTACTTAACCCTTAGCCTATGGTCCCCACTTTAGTCAATTTTACACAATTGAGTCCTCATCTGAATTTTGATCATCTGCTACCCCAATCATTAAATACCAAGGAGGATTGGAAGCCAGGGTTCCAACTCGATATTCTTTAATCTCCACGCATGCGTCATTTGCTATTTGTGTCTGTATAATTTGTACGACTGCATGGAGAATGACCCGATACTCTCCAACAAAGCTATCGCTAGGTGATTGTTTTGCAGAATATCGGTGTTGCATTCTGGGAGCCAATCCTCCTTGAAATCCAGATCAACTTTTCGAAAACTAAAAATGCTAATTTCAAGCATAAAACGTACTTCCTCGTGTTGTAAAGTTGACAAGGAAGCAAGGAGGATTGGAAGCCAGGGTTCCAACTCGATATTCTTTAATCTCCACGCATGCGTCATTTGCTATTCGTGTCTGTATAATTTGTACGACTGCATGGAGAATGACCCGATACTCTCCAACAAAGCTATCGCTAGGTGATTGTTTTGCAGAATATCGGTGTTGCATTCTGGGAGCCAATCCTCCTTGATTAAATACACTCATCTCTAATCCTACATACATCCTAATGCCATGCAATAAACAAACAAATTCAAATAATTGAGGGAATTACTGAAAACTTCAAAATTCAGAAATTTTGAGAAAAGATAAAAATCTGCAAAATTTACCTCCTAATGCACATTGCAGATGTACAAGGCAATTTAATATCACGAATGCATCTGTAAAATACATTGGTGTTATCTATGATTGCCTAAATAGACATTTCATCGTTGGAATTATCTATTAATGCGATTTATAGTGACAATTTTGAAAACATGTTTTGAAATAATAATGTTTACTTCCGGGTTTTGTGGGGACTTGTCAATCCTAATTTTAAATGTCATAAATCGGATTATTTTAGAACAAAAGCAGATGTACGATATAAATTCAAACGTTTTACTTCATGATTCACAAATACTGAAATTGTCGATGAAGAATTTACTTTGAACGTTTATCTTTATCGGGAAATCGCTCGAATAAGTTCTTATCAAAAGAGGTACAAGTTGACAGACTCCTAATTGAATTCAAGGTTCCCGGATGTGACGGGAAAGTTTCATGAAACAACTGTTGCATAGATTTATTTTCCAATCCCCTGCATGCTTCAAATAACCAGTGGAGACGTCAATAAAGATATGTTATGTATCTATTTAAATCACACATTCGATTGAATTTGAAGAAATCGATAATAGACGCGCATTTCAATTTATTTGACATTGAACAGTAATTTTCAGCACCATTTGTATCATAGAAATTAGACAGCTGACCAAAACAGAAAAATGCTAGTTGCCAGAAAATGACAAAATTGGCCCATTAAATTGGTCAATAAACGGACAACTCTTGGTTAAGTATGCATAATACCATTCTATCTATATTCAGAGAGCAAAAACAGACAGAACATACCATCTAAAATGGCAGGTTTTATGGAATTATTTAATTTATTGGCAATAAAAAATCTGAAAAATTCAAGATGGTGGATCATGATTTTTTGGTTGAGTTGTTTTGGAGTAAACAGTAGAGTAAGCAGTGAAGAATACAGGCCAAGTGAACGAAGTGACTATGCATATGTTAATACAACATACAAGGATCCAATTACGGGTAGAGTCGTTTCTGTAAGAGAGGAAAGTGCAAGGTATGGTCGAAACAGTAGAATAGATGCGGAGTACGGAATGGTCGTTCATGTCACAGACAAAGATCACAAACATTATGGCTGCAAACCTCACATAAATAAAATCCCACCAGACACTAAGTGGATAGCATTAATAAAGAGGGGAGAATGTAAATTTACACAAAAAATTGAAATGCACGCCAAGAAATCCAATGCATCCGCTGTGGTTATCTACAATACGGAGGATCAAAAGCTTGTTGAAATGGAACATTCTGGTGAGTATCTATGCCATTTTTTAATGATCTGTCTCTCAGTTCAACTAGACAATGCACTCTGTCGGGGTCTGTCAGGGTCTCAGACCAATGGCGTAGTGTTTAATATACACATAAAACGCCATGGCGTACTCTCAACCTTTAGAGAAAAGTTGATTTTCTATATTCAGTTGCTCTTCACTTTAAAAATGGATAAACATGGCCAATAGTTAACATTTTATTAGTCCAATTAATCAGCCCCAGAACGCTTCAAATGCATCTCATTTTCAAAATTCCCACCCCAACCCTTAAAGATTGTTGCATTTGCTAACTCATTACTCGAGTCTCTAGCCAATACTTGGCTAGAGGGGATTTCATCTGGAATACTGTGAACTCTATTTGAAAAAAGCTGGCCGGGGTGTCATAAATTTATTGAATATTCTAAAAATCGCCAGATAAATAAATCATTGATCAAACCGGACCCAGCTCGGCTCCTTGATGAGATATGACATGATTTCATCAGGATTTCATCTAAAATTAAAACAAAATGGCTCCAAGAAAAATGGTGATGTTCGAAAACTGGACGAAATGTCATTAACGTCTGACATTAGTAACTGGCTGTAAATTCTAAGTTAGCGATCCAGAAGATGTGAACTAATACACTGATCACTTTATGTGTGTTTTGGAATTTTTGGTGAGGTAATAAGACCAAAACTCGCAATTCAAATAGTGATGTGGAAAAATGGCGGACATATGATTTCAAATTTTATGATTACGACATGACCAGTTGTTCATGCAGGAATATATCTGTACTGGAAGGCCACGATACAGTGGCCTTAGAAGAAGGTAACTAACTCATGGCATACACTCACAAAATACCCATGCTATGCCACTCTCAGACAGAACCTTTCTCAGGATGTCTCCTTGCATTGCCAATGTTCAAACATATCGTCATTGTAAAATGAACATAATGTTTTAGCCACTCAGGAGTTTTTAGCCACTTGGAATACTGAGTACTTCCTTGATATCATCGTAGGCACATATACGAGTATATAAGTGATATGTATACTTCTGTTCTGATATATATGTAGGTACCATAAAAAGTTGAGCTTTTGATTTTTACTTCTGTAGAATATAAGTGTAAAGCTTGTTTTGATGATTATTTTTTGTTTGAATGACAATGTCAAATATTTCTTCTCCATTCATGTCAATAAATCCTAATGGATTCCCAACTGGAAATATTTAGTCTTTCCTAACTGATCAAAAAGTGAAAAGGATTAGAAATAAATATTCTGTCGGGTTGGCAGGTGCAACAGTACGTGCTCGAGTGTACCAATTTAACAAAATATTTTGATTTGAAATGAATATCTCATTTCGATTTATCAACATAAAATATAACCAATTAGATTAATAATTGATAACTATAGTTATTATGAAAATTATGTGAATTTTCTCATAATGGAGATCCACCTTTAGTATTTTTATAAATCAAACATTTTAATATATGAAGGAGATGTCTGCTGGTCTAGGTATTATCACGTAAACGGTATCAAACTGACATTAATCCAATGTTCAAACTTCGCTTTTAAATCACTAGATTAGAGTAAGTTATATCTTATTTCCTTTTAAAATAATTCACTTTCTAGTTCACTGAAATTCTTTCCAATTTGATTTTTAAAATAGACATTTGATTACTCAGGTCTATTATGATTAATACATTATGTTTTGTTTTCGTATTTTACTTTCTCGAAGGAAATGCTTTAAAATAATGTATACTTTTGAATAGGTAGTAAAGTAAATAACTCTTATTTATCTGTCTTTCAAGTACATGTACTTATTAAAGTTCATGTTAGAATATTACAATCGTAAGCTATTTTGTAAATAAACATAAGTACGTAAACTGAACTATTAACATCTAGCTAACATCTAGGGTGACATAAATAAACTACTGGGACAACTTGTTATCTATTGAGACTAGATTTTGAAACAGTGCTTAGCTTAGAAATTGTGTTCAATTTAGTTTTATTGATACTCAGGAACATAATCAGATATTACAACACTAAAAAGAGAGAGCCCTGGCCTGGTCCCTGGGTTTAAATCTAGTTAAATAAAAGTTGACTTTATAGTTTATACATTTTTGCTCTGAAGAAGCTCTTTCCTAGTTAGTTCATATTCAGGGGCACAGCTAGTGTCAAATAATAAATGAGGCAAATTTGATTTAAAGGCAATATCATCAAGTTATCATCCATTTCACAGTTTCAGTTGAAAAAATGTTATAGTTTTTCTCTAAAATGTCGGAGAAGCAGTTGACGTCTTCCCTGGCGATGTCCATGATATTTCATGATTGGAAGTAAAAAATGTGCTAAAAATATACATTTCAGTTATCTCTCCAGGACTTTTTCTCAGGTGGGAACACAATTCTTACTTTCACAATTCACCAAAATTGGTCAAAATATGCCAATTTTTCATGATTTTTCTCATCTTCAATTGGGTGCAAATGAATTTTCAGGTGGATGCAAGCAAGCTTATTTTCAAAATCTCAGGTGGTTGCTATGCCCACTTGCTTTAATGCTGGGGAGATCACTGCATTTAAATGTTACAATTGTCTTAAGTCATCTCAGTCAAACTTAGTCAAACTCTTGGACTTGGGTACTCATAAAGTGTTTTCATACCCTTTGCATAATAAAACATTTATTTTGCTCTTAAAAACCATTAAACCTATGAACTCACTGGCTCTTTTAGTGAATGTAGTACTTCTCCCTCATATATGTTTCTGTAATTATATATATGTTATACATGTATATATATTATACCTTGCATGCAGTCTAGTCACCCTCTGCCTAGTATAGGCTATTGAGTAGCCTGGCCCCCACAACCTATGCCTGTGACAGTTCGGGTCGTAAATCATTTCAAACCTACCACCCTGATTTTTTCTCAGCCAATCAGTTAGCTGGAAGGATCAAATGCATGCTCATTAACTTTTCGATGGCATAAGAGGAAATGACCATATATATAAAGTTGTCCTTATTTCGATGACAAACTCTGAATGGCTCAGTGAGCTCAGATATTTATTGTCAGAAAGGGTGAAAAAGAAGCAAAGTTGAATGAATGCAAAGGGTAGTTGATTAAATACAAGGCATTTAAATGATGGATCATAGTCAGAGGACAGATTATTTATAAGTCCATGATCTCAGGGTTGTTTTCATATATTCATTGTCTCGCTTATTATGGCCACATGTATGTGTGTGGAGTCTTTCTCAAGAGGACTTTGAACTTTAAACAAATTAATACATGATGGGGAAGATAGACCAAATAGATCTTGTTCCAAAACATCACAAGAGCAGGTTTCTTTTGAGAGAAAAAATTGTATTGGTCCTGCAGCATTGGCAGGTTAGGGGGGGGGGGGGCTGGGGGCCCAGGCCCCCCCCCCCCCTTGGGTGGGCCCAGAAAAAAAAAATTGGGCCCAAAAAAAATTTTGGGCCAAAAAAGGCCTTCAGGCCCCAAAAAGTGGGCCTTTTTGGTCATTACTGGGCCTTTTAAGGCCTTATTTTTTAATTTCAGGCCAAATTTTGAAGAAAATGGGCCTCAAAATTTCAAAATTTGGGCCCACTTTTGGGTTTTTGGGGCCCAAAATTTTTTTCCGTGCAAGTGCGGCCGTTTTTTTTCTCTGGCTTGAAATTTGGACCCCCCTTGTTGATTCCCAGATCTGCCCCTGTGCAGTATCTTATGTTGGTAGCTCCTTCTGTATCACTCAAACTAGTGTCATTTTATCGCTAGTATCCATGTTTTTACAGAATTTAACCCGACTTTTCAGATTTATTTTTAATTTTTCGTCTGAAAAAGTCCCCCAGTGCATCATTACACTGCACTAAACTGAAAAATTCCTTGAAGCCGGATGGATATATTATATCGTATTATTAAGATCCTACTTAAATTTATTTATTTATTTTTATCTGTGAGTGATTCCACCCTGTCGATTCCTAGTTCCAGTGAAAACTGAAGGGCATTCTCTCAAATCAAAACAAAACTTGATTTCATCGTTATTTACTATATTTATGTGACTAATACACTTGTATATATGACACAATTTGAAGGAAAAGATTACTTGGGAAACACTGGACTTAAGATATTACCCTACTATCACACCAAACTAGTTTTCACTATGTTCTCCAAAACATTCTTCAACTGTGCACGAACGGACTGGATGTACTTAGGACCGTTTGGGGTCTATTTACAAACTTCATCTAATGAGTGAACGGGTAGGTCCTCTAGAACTTAGAACATGCTCAAAATGTTCTCGTGGTTGATACGTTCTACAATTAGAACGAGTGACAACGTACTAACAACGACCTGGACATACTTCGAACAAATGGGTTTAAACTGATTAAGAACGTATTTAAGACTGCTTATGAACGAGTTAGCAAAAATATAGCTATCACACCAAACAAGTTGCCACTGCAGTCTTCAAAACTGGTTTTAAACTGTGTGCGAACTGAATGAACATAGCTACAACGTTCTATGGTCTGTTTACGAACTACATGGACTTTCTCGGACGGGGAATGTGATTAAGAATTTTGAATCGATTAAAAATTCGATGGCGACCATACTTTTCTGTAATCAGGTCATGATGACCTTATAGACTAAGGGACACGTTATACGACGTTGCACACCGACGTGGTGCAATCTGAAGGAACTGCGAATGAGATGGACGTATTGAAGACTGTTTATAAACGAAGTAGCTAATTATTTTAGACATATCTCCCAACCATAGCCAGATTGAGCCTGTTTTACGACGTTTTCGTAGGACTGACAAGAATGGGTAAGAACTAGTTTGGTGTGAGTTAACGATTCAAAGCCAATAGAGGTAAGGTTCTGATGTTTGTTCCGAAACACTGGTATTGGTATTGGTATTCAAGCAAAAGTTTTGGTTCGTCGAATGGCACGGCCTTAATATCCATATATCATACCTACACTTTACCTTTAAACCTCTCCTTGTACACCTCATCTGCATTCCCACCTTCATA